TGTTCACCGCTATATCTAGTATTCTCTACTGGGCCTACCATAATAGAAGCTCCAAAATATTTGTTAAAGGCTTTTTTATCCTTGTTTTTTGGTTTTTGATGTTAAAATATGTTGATTCTCAGTTTTCTATGGAATTAAATACTAAGCTTGTCTACTGACTCCAAAGCACTACTGATGAGCTATTTGGGCTCATCAATATTTCCCCAAAGCCTAGATTTGGAGCAAAAAAGGCAGATTAATTATGTACTGATGAATATATCATTTTCTAAGGCTGAAAAGATACAGCAAAAAGACAACCGTGCCTTGGACAGAGGAGCTGTGAGCGATCTGAGCAAGGATTATTTTGTTTTGTTACATGTATTTCTTTAATTCCCAAGTTCTCTGGAGTGATTATAGTATGTAACGAGAAAAGTGATTACAGTGAGTAGTGAAAACCCGCGGATAACAATGAGTCAAGGACCCCTCGCTCCCCCTCTCTCTCTCACGCCTGGGCGAGACAAAGGCCTTGACGCCAGGCCCGGCGGCGTCCTGGGATTCCCCGCGCACCCTCCCAGACCTGGATGCCAGTGACCCGAGGACAGTCCAGCGCGCAAAACCGGAAGAAGGCGCTAGTGCAGAGAAGCCCCCACGGGCTCCAGTATCGGATTCCGGAACTCCGAGCAACCCACCCCACCGCCTTGCACTCACCACCAGCGAGGCCAGGAACCCCGGCCGGTCCATGGCCCAGCAGACCTAGTCAAGGCTATAAATCGAGATTTAGCAGAGGCCGGTCACGTCCCAGTGCGCTGGGCGCTGCCATCTTGGAGGCGGAGTCTGTAGGGCCCGTACTTCCGGGACCACGTGACGTCGAACCACAACAACTACACGTGCAACCCAGGGCAGCTGCTCCAGGAGTTCCGCCCGGGAGGAGGGGCGGGGCCTGGGGGTGTGATCAAGCTAAATCTCGCGGCTCCTCTCTGCCTCCGTTTCCTGCCCAGGTTTGTGCTGCAGCTGGATGGAGGAACTCTCGCGAGCAAATGAGCGTCGGCTGGGATCCGCGGGAAGCTCTGCAGGGTGGATTGGGTGATTTTAAATGGCAAACACCTGAGGGAAGAGCGTGGGGGGCGGGACTGGCTTCAAGAAGCCCGGCTTGTGCTTTCTTATTACTCACAATCCAAATCGGTTATTTCATTTTGGTTTCTCTCTTGGTTTTAAAAGTACAAATTTTGTCTGAATTTCTATTAACTCATTATCAGAAGGTTATTAAATAAAGATATAGAAAAATACTTGTAAAATTTCCTTATTGACCTAAAAATTAGCATCCTCCACTTCTCCTTACAGGCAGTTATTGCATTTAAAATTATTTACTTGTTCAGTTATTTACTTGTTTGTCTTGTTAGCTGTTACACCCGTGTGTACATCTTGAAGCACACGTTAAGTACTTAATAAAAGTGTCTTGGAGTGAAGCTGTCTTTATGTTTTTTTATAGATCTTCTAACCTTCTATATACGTTAATGACCAACTGCATCTCAGACGTGTTTGCTAGGTGACTGACAGATATTTTCTCATGTAATCCTTACACAAACCCTGTGATGTCAGCACCACTACCGTCCTCACTTTACAGAGGATCCTGATGCTCCAACGAGTTAAGTAACCAAAACTCAAAGCTACAATGAACATAGCAGACCAAGCATTGAAAAATTTACTTCATGCCCTCACCATCTTTCATCAAAACCCCCTCAAGAGTCTTAGCAGGCTTCTTGTCTAGCCTCTCTTCAATTCATCTTCTGTGACTCTGCTCGAATTATTCTTAGAATTATTCTTACTCTCTTGTAGATAAGATGATCTAGAAATGATTAGCAGAATAGCCTTAGGTGTTGGATGGGATTCAAATTCTAAACTATCACTTACTGGGTTTGGTCATAACTTCTCTAAGATTGAGTTTTCTCCTCTTTGAAGTGAGGTTGCTAGTAACTTCTTCAGGTGGAACTATTATATAATAGATTAAATAAGACAATAAAGTTGTTAGCCTAGTTCTTAGCCTAGTTCCTGGCTCATAGAAAGTACCCTCTATAAATGATAGTAATATCACTTACCTGCCGAAAACAATTCCCCTCTGGTGCCCATGATAGAGAGTCCAGCTCTTAGCATGATACACACCTCTGAGCTGGTGTCTCCTGTCCACTCTGTGGACTACTCACAGACAGACAGACTATACACTTTCAAGCCTCCTCACTTTGCCCATGTTGTTCCCTCTACCCGGAATGCTTTTCCCTATGCTGCC